AGCGAGTCAGTTCAGGTACGTTTCTTCTTCTCTAAAAAACATATAGATCTAGATATGTACCCTTTTTAACCTTCCCGTCCTTCCCTTCCTCTCGGCCTCTCAACCACCCACTTTATGGTTTCTTAAGGCTAGACCATTTGATCCTTTCTTTTCTTTGTTCAACAAGCTGTACGTCTTCTTCAGGGGTATCAGCAAAACTATCGAAGTCTTCAACTCTCAACACTAAGGATGCTACGTTTAAGCAGTCATCTGCCGCTGGTATACTCCATTGTCTTGTCCTGGTTATTCCACAAAATGTGCCCAGCATACCAGTAATCACTGTGGAATGCTTCTTTGACAGCCTCCACAAAGGAGAATAAGGAGCCAGCGGTGTCTGCAGCAAAAAACAAGAAGGTGCGGCAGAAAAAGTGGATGCGGGTGCGAGTTGGTAGGAGCGTGAGGGCAGTGAGGAAAAATGAGAGTGGTTGGGGGCCAGAGAGCAAGGAGGCATTTTTCTGCCGCTTCTCATATCATGAACCTAGTGTCGTGTACGGCACTTGTATGCTTTCACTTGTGGCAGTTGGATGTAGATAAGCCACCACCCAAGAAAGCCAAGACATCACATACCCCTGGAAAGGTAAGGGTTTACAAGCAAGTGCTAGAATCCATATGTCCCTAAATTGTGTGTGCTACGCAGGCTTTGGATGCTTCCAATCAATCAAAGACTCCTGGCAAGAAGAAACCAGAGGCAAAGCCTGAAGATGATGACATCTCCACCTTTGTAAGCGTTGCAGAATTATTTCGACATGGTGCATGGTGTACGACAGGATATTCATGGTTTATCTTTCAGGTGAAAGAGAAGTTAAAAGAAGGGAAGCTGAAGGATATTACCCTTCCAAGGTTGAAAGCATTCATCACCTTGCACAGGCTAGGAAAAGTCAGTGGGAAGAAAGATGAGCTCCTCCTGTGTGTTGAGAGGTTTTTAACTGCAGTTTAACAGGCATGGCCTTCACACCTATCAAATTCACGAGGCAAGGCAATGCCGGAACAAATTACGGTATATCTTCGAGAGACGCACATCATCACCTCTCCACCTATTTTGGCTGATCTCAGGTTACAGCTACTTGTTTCAGCTTTAAATCAACTAATAATTTGAATAAGAAGTTCGGGGTGCAAAAACAAAGGACTATGAGGTTTCCAAACTACGGTACTGTAGGCTCCCGGGAATATAGCTTCACAAGCTTATGACAGAACCAACTTTATTACACCAACAGATTCTATGCAGCAGAAGATCTGTGAAATCACAAACCCCTCTAACGCAGCCTACTAACATGGTCATCGATAACTTAAAACCTCAGCCTACTAGTTCCTTTAGTGCCACAGTTGAAGCAGTGCATTGGTCATCACACCAAGGCCTGCAACAAACCACTTGGCAAAAACCAACCACCCGGCGTCATTGGGTCCTGGCTTCATTCCCTTGGCGAGAAGATGGCCAAGAGCGATAAAGATGAAGACACCAGCAGCCATGCCATTTCCGAAACCCTTGATCCACTCCCTTGCCACCTTGCCGCTGGCGGAGTCAAGAGCCAGGCCAATAGCAATGCCAGTAGGAGCAACAAGGGAAGCCCCTAAGGCATAATAGAAGTGGTTGAGACCACTGCGGCGTGTGTCCTGTACACGAAGAGTGACACCAAGGGCCATGCCCTCGAAAAACTGCCAACACACAGAAGAATCAAAAGTTAATTTCTTACTCGCACCTAGCATGCGGAATTTCGAGTGAATGTGTCATGATTTAGTACTTTTGAGCTACCAACTTTCACGTCCCAACTTACCTCATTCACACCGATTTGTGCAGTCATGGACCAGACTTTGGAGACAGTCTGTGCAAGTCCGACAGCAATGCCCTCAAAGAAAGCATGGAAGCAGAGGCCGAAGAGCACGAGGATGACATCGACAATGGTGAGAGCCTGAATGTCAACCTTGACAACAGCAGTCTCAGCATCTGCATCAACCACCTTCTTCTCTCCAACTCCCATTGCGCCAGCAATGGTGGGTCCCAGTTCGTCCTCCTGCAAACATAAAACGAGCGTTCAGCGAATCAAGAATCCAAAAACCACGGCATGTGACACGCAGACATTGAGTATTCCAAGACTTCACTTGCAATGAGGACTGTATTGGAAATGACGCTTACGTTATCATCGAGAGAGCCCGTGCGCTTTATCCACACAGACTTGACGATGAGGTCGCACACCCACGTCAGGTAAATACCCATCACGATGACAAGCATGCCGTACGGATAGTCTGCAACAGAAAACAACTAAGTGCTTCTTAGTTCAGAGCCTCTTGTGACAAGTGATTGATAATCCTAGAAGAAAATACGGTTCCGTTCAAAATATACGGATAGCGGCGCACTCACCGTCTCCTGCCAGCTCCTCGAACTCCTCGAACGTCTCCACAGCGAGGTATAGGAGGGACATGCCGATGAAGAGGCCAGTGGAGAAGAGAATACCGAACTTGAGAAACAGCGGGTGCACGGGGATGAAGTACGGAACCCACACGCCCAAGAAACTGCACGCGAAAAAGACGAAGATGGCGCCGGCCTTGTTGGCATTGAGAGTCTTGGTGTCATCAGGTTGCTGTCAAGCGCAACGATAAGGAAACAAAGACGAGTTACATTAGCCCGCTTCTTGATCAACATCAACTGTCGGAAGGGATCAGTAGAAAAAACTTACTTCGTTAGGGTCAGATTTTGGTGTGGCCAATGCGACGGAAGCTAAAGCTGCGACGCAGATGAGGACGAGCAGCTGTCTCTTCCAGGAAGCCATTGTCGGCTGGGGTGATCGTCAAGGCGGCTAAGGCGAGTCGGTAGGAACGAAAAGCGCGAGAGAGCGGAGCGGAATGTGTAGTCCAGGAGAATGGAGTGACGATGGAGTCCTAACGTGAAATATGGAATCAGCATACACAAGCGCAATTAACCGAATGGCGCTGCTTTTGTACCACGAAAGAAGGCACTAGAATAGTTCAGGGGGTCCGAGAAGGTCCCGCTCCCTCGTTCTCTCTCTCTCGTTGAGAAGAAAAAAAAATGGCGGTAGGAGTAGGGTATAGGGGAGGTTGCATTACTACCAGTTCCGAATGCAAGCCCGCGATCGCGGGTGGTGACATGGCTGCATCGCTGGCGATAATCGGCGACTGTCTTTCCTGGATTACATTGACTCTCTAAAAGTCCATGAGCTTGCTGCTCCGCTTCATCTCATCATGCCGAAAGAGCGTGGAGAAGGCATGGATTTGACGAGAGGGTTATTTCATCTGGTTGTAACGCTGACGAGGCAGTCAGAAGCGTAGGTTCAGACACGACCGGAAATTCGGCATCTGGGGGAGGTCTGTTCTGTTTGGTTCTCTGCCACCCAGTCCGAACGAAAGGCTGCAGGAATGAGTGCAACGCCATGATGGAGATACGTGGAAGAACACTGCGAACTAGTAAGGGAGGGGATCACGCCGCAAAAACGTGGAAAGAACACGGCTAACTAAAGTGGCTTAGCACGTCATCGAAAGGAAAACAGCTTCTTGGGACAAGTCACCGCTGAGAAACGAGGCGAGCACACCTCGAACGCGCTCCTTTAAGATAACGCCAGAGTCAGCAGCACTCGACAACGCCAGCTCATGCTCGGTCAGGTTCGGAAGTCATGGAAGCTTGGAGATGTTCGGCTCGGGAGTGAGAATCACAGGTTTGCTACGGTTCTGTCGTTTCCTGTGTTATGTAGGAATCCGTTTAGTAGGAGGTGGTGGTAGTGTTGTGGGAGATTTGAGGTCTGGTTTGAAAAGGGATTGGGGGTGTAATGGGGTGCTGTGGGGTGAGATGAGTAAAGTCATACTGAAGTGGTGGGGTGCGTTGGAGTGGAGAGCCAGACCTGACCAACGATTCCTACACAACATTTGACGCCGCCAGCCAGGTTTCCAAATACGAGGTCCGATCAAAGCTTTCCGGGCGCGGTTCATACCTTCTCTTGAAGTGTTCGCTTGACGCGGTTTGAGGTTTCCACCGCTTTACACCATTGCGCATCCGGGTTTCCACCTCTCATACCTTTCGGACTTTTCGGTCTTGTCTCAACTGAACCTAAGCTTCCACCTGCCTCGTCAGCAGCACTGCACCCAGTTGAAGTGACCCACATTTGATCCATGCCTTCTACACGTTCTTACAGCGTGACTGCAGCGCTAGAGTTCCCAAGCAATAACATCCAGCAAGCTCGTCGAGTAGAGTGGACGCGCTCCAGGAAAGGCAATCGCCAATTATCTCCAGCAATGCAGCCATGTCACCAATCCTCTTGGACAGCCTTGCGTTCAGAAGTAGTAATCCACACCGAATGCAACCTCCCCTATATCCTACATCGGCCGCCAAAGTATGCGGGATGAGAGAGAGACCTTCTGACCCCCTGCGCGCCGACCCTAGTCCCCTCTGTTGTGATACAAAAGAAGCGCCATTTGGTCAGACTTGCATCTACCTGCAGATTTTATATCTGCTACTCCTAACTGTTTATCGTTAGAACGAAACCATTCTCACCCCTTTCGCCTTGATTTCATTCTCCGCTCAACTCTCACGACCCTCCTCATTCCTTCCGACTCGTCTTAGCCACCTTCACAAGCACCAGTCAGCCATGGCTTCCTGGAAGAGACTTCTGCTCGTTCTCGTTTGCGTCGCAGCCTTTGCTTCCGTCGCGTTTGCCACGCCTAAATCCGACCCAAACGAAGTAAGCTTTTCGACTCATGTCTTCCGTCCAGTTTTTGACAGTTGTGGATCGACAAGCGGCCTAACGTTCGTCGTATGTGCTTCTTCTTCCTTTTTGCCTTATCGTTGCGCTTGACAGCAACCTGATGACACCAAGACTCTCAATGCCAACAAGGCCGGCGCCATCTTCGTCTTTTTCGCGTGCAGTTTCTTGGGCGTGTGGGTTCCGTACTTCATCCCCGTGCACCCGCTGTTTCTCAAGTTCGGTATTCTCTTCTCCACTGGCCTCTTCATCGGCATGTCCCTCCTATACCTCGCTGTGGAGACGTTCGAGGAGTTCGAGGAGCTGGCAGGAGACGGTGAGTGCGCCGCTATCCGTATATTTTGAACGGAACCGTATTTTCTTCTAGAATTATCAATCACTTGTCACAAGAGGCTCTGAACTAAGAAGCACTTAGTTGTTTTCTGTTGCAGACTATCCGTACGGCATGCTTGTCATCGTGATGGGTATTTACCTGACGTGGGTGTGCGACCTCATCGTCAAGTCTGTGTGGATAAAGCGCACGGGCTCTCTCGATGATAACGTAAGCGTCATTTCCAATACAGTCCTCATTGCAAGTGAAGTCTTGGAATACTCAATGTCTGCGTGTCACATGCCGTGGTTTTTGGATTCTTGATTCGCTGAACGCTCGTTTTATGTTTGCAGGAGGACGAACTGGGACCCACCATTGCTGGCGCAATGGGAGTTGGAGAGAAGAAGGTGGTTGATGCAGATGCTGAGACTGCTGTTGTCAAGGTTGACATTCAGGCTCTCACCATTGTCGATGTCATCCTCGTGCTCTTCGGCCTCTGCTTCCATGCTTTCTTTGAGGGCATTGCTGTCGGACTTGCACAGACTGTCTCCAAAGTCTGGTCCATGACTGCACAAATCGGTGTGAATGAGGTAAGTTGGGACGTGAAAGTTGGTAGCTCAAAAGTACTAAATCATGACACATTCACTCGAAATTCCGCATGCTAGGTGCGAGTAAGAAATTAACTTTTGATTCTTCTGTGTGTTGGCAGTTTTTCGAGGGCATGGCCCTTGGTGTCACTCTTCGTGTACAGGACACACGCCGCAGTGGTCTCAACCACTTCTATTATGCCTTAGGGGCTTCCCTTGTTGCTCCTACTGGCATTGCTATTGGCCTGGCTCTTGACTCCGCCAGCGGCAAGGTGGCAAGGGAGTGGATCAAGGGTTTCGGAAATGGCATGGCTGCTGGTGTCTTCATCTTTATCGCTCTTGGCCATCTTCTCGCCAAGGGAATGAAGCCAGGACCCAATGACGCCGGGTGGTTGGTTTTTGCCAAGTGGTTTGTTGCAGGCCTTGGTGTGATGACCAATGCACTGCTTCAGCTGTGGCACTAAAGGAACTAGTAGGCTGAGGTTTTAAGTTATCGATGGTTCTTTAGTAGGCTGCGTTAGAGGGGTTTGTGATTTCACAGATCTTCTGCTGCATAGAATCTGTTGGAGTAAAAGTTGGTTCTGTCACAAGCTTGTGAAGCTGTATTCCTGGGAACCTACAGTAGTTTTAAAACCTCATAGCAGAGCCCTGATTATGCCAGGGTACTGTCATGAAGAAATTGTTGGACAAGATTCAGTCCAAGAATTTAATTGTGCTACACCTGAAAAGCAGTGCAAGCAACCTTATTTATCCTATTGTCCTTTCTATTTATCAATGAAACTGCACCAGAGATACCGATCAATTCAATAGGTAGCAACAAAACAGTTACATTCTGTCTTTCTTTTGTCTACTCTGAACCATCACCGTCCAGTTTCTCAAGCCATGGCAAAATATGGGAGGCAGCAATCTCAGGCCTGTCATCATGCGGGCAATGACCAACATCTGGGAGCGGTACCACTGCCACCTTGTCATTTCCCCTTTGCTCCTCTAATCGCTTAAACAGCAGAGCCACCTGGCCAAGCACAGGATACGGAAACATATCTTACGGTATCACTAAGTGCATCCAGCTGCTAAAGCTCATCATGCATTCTCAACGCACTGCCACTCAACACAAACGCTCCAGACATAATCAACATCGCCATTCAAAGCACGCACCTTGCCATTGATGGGCGTCCAGCGGTCCTTGTCCCCCAACAACACCAGCATGGGCACATCATAACCGCACCGACATGCACCGACATGCACCGCAGAGCACCGCACAGCACCCACGCCCCACCCCTTGCAACACACCTTGCCATCGATGGGCGTCCAGGGGTCCTTGTCCCCCCACAGCACGAGCATGGGCACATCATAAGCTTACTCACATCCAACGACATGCACCGCAGAGTACCGCACAGCACCCACACCCCACCCCTTGCAACACACCTTGCCATCAATGGGCGTCCAAGGGTCCTTGTCACCCCCAGCACGAGCATGGGCACATCCGAAACACAGAAGCGCACCGACATGCTCCGCACAGCACCGCACAACACCCATCACAACACACCTTGCCATCGATGGGCGTCCAGGGGTCCTTGTCCCCCCACAGCACGAGCATGGGCACATCCACCATCTCCACCAGCTCCTCTGGATGGGGACCTGTGGACAGGGTAGGGAGAAGAAAGGACAGTAATTCAGCTGCATAGCCAGGCAGCACAAGCAGCACCGGAAACACGAACAGCACGAGCATGGGCACATCCACCATCTCCACCAGCTCCTCTGGATGGCGACCTGTGGACGGGGGAGGGTAGGAAGAAAGCGTAGGAAGAGAGGGTGGGAGGAGAGGGTGGCGAATCAGCTGCACATCTACAGCAGCACCAGCAGCACAGCACGAGCATGGGCACATACACTAGCTCCTCCGGTTGGCGGAATGTGGACAGGGTAGGAAGGACAAGAGGAAGCTAGTGGTAATACTGAGGCAAAATGAGAAGGCAGAAAGAGAGGGTAGCATGGTGAAGCAGCAGCATACTGATTTGGACCGTCCCAATGCTGACCTGGTCCCTCCCAATGCTAACCTGGTCCCTCCCAATGCTGACCTGGTCCCTCCCAATGCTGACCTGGTCCCTCCCAATGCTGACCTGGTCCCTCCCAATGCTGACCTGAACCCTCCCAATGCTGACCTGAACCCTCCCAATGCTGACCTGGATCGCCGGTGAAGACCTTGACAAAGACGTCTAGAGCACCGTCATGGGTGGATGGCTCGTACAGAATGTCCACCTGGGGAAAGTTTTGAGGAAAATAAAAAACATGAAGAGGAATCAATCTGATGCAAAAAAGAAGAAAGCATGGTGTAATGTTGAACATAAATAGACTCAGGGTACATTCCTGTGTCGACACAAATCTCTCAATCGCTTTGTGACACCTAAAAACAACATAAACTGTAGTGCGTCCCAAATGCGAGTCGCCCTTCAGCGACCATTACTGCATTTTTTATTGGTCAGCGTGAAATGCGCTGACGTCGCCAACGAATTGTGAACCGACTCATCATTGTTAAAAAATCGCGCGCGGTTCGAAACGTCAATGCACCTGGACAGCCTGCAATGCCAATTTCGCGCGGGAAACAATCCCGCGCGTCGATAGCACACCCCAGCCAAGCGGTTGAAGAAACGGGTGTACAATCATTTGTGTCACCCAATCAAATGAACCCAACTGTGCGTTTCGCCTAGTTGCCTAGTTTCGCGATACATTCATTTTTTGTGATGCGAGATTGACAAAATGTTTCGACGCGACTCGGGAAAAGGGGATTGAGACACAAATGATGACACAGGAATGTACCCTCAATCCCATGGAAAAAAAAAACAGGAAAAATGGGTAAGGCCAGCACTTACCAGCCGATCGCAGACTTGTGAGCCGTCTCGGTACACCTGCTCACTGAGTATCTTGCGCACATTGGCCTTGTTGCGAAACCTGCAATAACGAGGATATGATTAGAAAAGACATGAAAGAACAGCTATAGACAACAAAACATAGACATAATAAACATAGCTTGGACTGTATTCCACTCACATCCAAATCAACACACTCACCGCTCAAAGAGAAATGAGGCAATTTTGGGTTTCTGCAGCAGATACTCAATGGCCACAAACATGGGCGACAGCGCTGTCAGCACAGCATCGTCCCGCATCAGCCCCTTCCTGTTCATTGCTCCCGCCACGTTCAGCAGCACCAGACCCCTAATGGAACGGGGCAAGGAAGGGTATACGAAAAACGAAAAAGCATGGTTACTGGACCAAGACAGCGCTGTCAGCACCGCATCATCTCGCATCAGCCCCTTCCTGTTCATTGCTCCCGCCACGTTCAGCAGCACCAGACCCCTAATGGAACGGGGCAAGGAAGGGTATACGAAAAACGAAAAAGCATGGTTACTGGACCAAGACAGCGCTGTCAGCACCGCATCATCTCGCATCAGCCCCTTCCTGTTCATTGCTCCCGCCACGTTCAGCAGCACCAGACCCCTGGGGGGGTGGAGTGAGCGACGGGGGAAGGGAGAAGGGGGGAGGAGAAAGGGAAGACGATGAGACGCATGCTGCTACTTGATGCTACTTGGCTGCGACCAGCTAACCTGGAGCGCATCATCGCGCATCAGCCCCTTCCTGTTCATGACTCCAGCCACGTTCAGCACCACCAAACCCCTGGAGTACACGGGACAGGTTTTACACATGACAGTTTAAAAGAGCAGCTGAGAATACTCAACCAGAGTGCCCTTTTATGTGAGCCAATTTGCATCTGTATATTATAAAAAAAGGTTCTTTTCATCCATTCTCTATTTTTTTTTTACTGGCAACTGTAAAAAAATAGAGTTTAAAAGGATTAAACACACCAAGCATTGAGACGCAAAAAACAAGCAAACATCACTCACCTGATCTTCCCCTTCTCTGCCCTCCGCACAATGCTCCCCTCCCCCTCGCCTTCGCTCTGCCCCTCCCCGTCTGAGAGCGAGAGAGGCGCAGCAGAGGAGGCAGCAGCAGTGAGGGAGGTGAGGGAGCCAATGGAGTTGCCAATGAGCACGGCGGGTTCATCAGTGAACTCGAGCATGAAGTCTGCACAGGGGGGGGGCGGGGGGGGGGGGGGGGGGGGGGGGTCAGTATGGGGGGTAGGAAGGAAGGAGGTGGCAGCAGTGAGGGAGGTGCGGGAGCCGATGGAATTGCCTATAAGCACTGTAGGCTCGTCCGTGAACTCGAGCATGAAATCTGTAGGTAGGAGGGAGGGGGGCGAAGGAGTGAGGGGAGCAGGGAACAGCAGTGAGAGAGCAATGAGTGAGGTGAGAGAGCAGATAGAGTTGCCTATCAGCACAGCAGGCTCGTCCGTGAACTCGAGCATGAAATCTGTGAGTGAATGGGGGGCCATGGGCAAGAAAAGGGTTGGAAGCGGGGCAGGAACGGGAAGCGGCAGCAGTGAGCGAGGTGAGGGAGCCTAGGAATCGCCAATCAGCACTGCAGCAGGCTCGTCCGTGAAAACTCGAGCATGAAATCTGTAGGTAGGAGGGAGGGGGGTGATGCGGGGTGGACATGGGGGAAAGCAGGGAGAGCAAGGAGCAGCACTGAGAGAGGTGAGAGGGGTGAGGTAGGTGAGAAACGAGAGTGAGGAGAGGAAGGAGAAAGAGGAGGGGGCTGTGACTGGAAAGACAGTGTCAGCACCTGCAGTTGATGATGTCAGCACCTACCTTGATGATGTCAGCACCTACCTTGATAATGTCAGCACCTACCATTGATGATGTCAGCACCTACCGTTGATGATGTCAGCCCAGAGCTCAGGCCTGTACTCGATGCCGCCCGGCTTGTCAGAGTCGCCAAACCCTAGCCGGTCAACAAAGTCAACAGGATACACCTTATGGTAGTCTGCAAGATGATGATGATGATGATGATGATGTCAGCACCCACTGTCGATGATGACAGCACCTACCGTTGATGATGTCAGCACCTACCGTTGATGATGTCAGCCCAGAGCTCTGACCCGTACTCGATGCCGCCCGGCTTGTCAGAGTCGCCAAACCCTAGCCGATCAACGGTGTACACCTTATGGTGATCTGCCAGATGCTGGGGATCTGCCAGACGCTGGTGATCTGGCAGATGCTGGTGATCTGGCAGATGCTGGTGATCTGGCAGATGCTGGTGATCTGGCAGATGCTGGTGATCTGGCAGATGCTGGTGATCTGGCAGATGCTGGTGATCTGCCAGACGCTGGTGATCTGCCAGACGCTGGTGATCTGCCAGACGCTGGTGATCTGCCAGACGCTGGTGATCTGCCAGACGCTGGTGATCTGCCAGACGCTGGTGATCTGCCAGACGCTGGTGATCTGCCAGACGCTGGTGATCTGCCAGACGCTGGTGATCTGGCAGATGCTGGTGATCTGCCAGAGGCTGGTGATCTGCCAGACGCTGGTGATCTGCCAGACGCTGGTGATCTGGCAGATGCTGGTGATCTGGCAGATGCTGGTGATCTGGCAGATGCTGGTGATGCCCAACCACTACTGTGGATGATGCACTGCACGCCAGCACCTGCGTTGATTGTGATAGACCCTCACGTTTATGTTGTCAGCTCAGCACCCACCGTTGATGATGTCAGCACCTACTGTTGATGATGTCAGCCCAGAGCTCAGGTCCATACTCAATGCCGCCCGGCTTTGTCAGAGTCCCCAAAGCCCAGGCATACACCTTATGGTGGTCTGCAAGATGATGACCATGATGTCAGCACCTACCGTTGATGATGTCAGCACCTACCGTTGATGATGTCAGCACCTACCGTTGATGATGTCAGCCCACAGCTCGGGTCCATACTCGATGCCACCCGGCTTGTCAGAGTCCCCGAATCCCAAGAGGTCCACAGCATACACCTTATGGTGGTCTGCGAGATGCGCTATAAGGTTGCGGAAGTGCCCTGCACTGCCTCCTGTGGTAATTGGAGAAAGCAGGACGAGGGGTGCCAGGGGGGGAGGGGAGAGAGGAGGGGGGAAAGTGCAGATAGGAAGAACGAAGAGAGGAAGAGGGTGAAGGACAAAGTCAATGAAGGGGGTGAGGAACATGTCAGCAATGGCACTACATGATCCCGAGCTGGTCGACGGCGTACACCTTATGGTGGACTGCGAGATGGGCTATAAGGTTGCGAAAGTGCCCTGCACTACCTCCTGTAGTGTTGGGAGGAGGAGCAAGAGGGAGAGGGGAAGAAGAGGGTTGGAAAAGGGGTGGGAAGGACAAGCAACTGAAAGTGCTGGCTGTTTGAAAGCAGGATCTAAGAGCCGTCGTTGCAGTGTGACAGAAAATGGCGCTGCCTCCTCATGCACCGCTTAGAATAGGCGATGCAGTGTGGGCGAAACTGGATGAGTACGGCCCATGGCCGTGCAAGGTGATCTTTATCAGGAGCCCCATATCACCTTGCACGGCCTTAGGCCGTACTCATCCAGATCCGCTCACACTACATCGCTTATCCTAAGCGGTGCATGAGTAGGCAGCGTCATTTTTTGTCATGCTGTAGTGTAACGATGCACGCATTCCTGTTTGTTGTGATACGAGTACATCTAGATTCACCTCGAAAGAGGGGGGTCCGAGAGCATACCAAAGCCATGCACAAGGATGACGGGTTTGCCACACCCTGCCACAGCATAGTGAATGCGATGACCCCTGCGGAAGTGTGGAGAACGGTGGGGAAGGGTGGGGAGTGTGGCAAATGTTAGAGCGTAATGTGTGGATGGGGCAGAGAGATGCACAGGCAGCAGACTTGAAATGACGGGTTTGCCACACCCTGCCACGGCATAGAGAATGCGGTGACCCCTGATGGAGAGGCGACGGGTTGGAACGAGAGAAATTGACTTGAGAACGGGTGGGAGTGAGAGAAAGACGATGATTTTTTAGTCAACTTTTTGAGTCAACTCAAAAATCGACTTATCAAACGAGGAGAGAGAGAGAGAGAGAGAGAGAGAGAGAGAGAGCGAGAGAGAGAGAGAGAGAGAGAGAGAGAGAGAGAGAGATTGACAGGAGAATGGGTGGAAATGAGAGAGATAAGATACAGGCAGACTACACATGAGAGAGGATACCCATCCACTGCGAGTGCAAGCAACAAGCACTGATCCTTTTGAAAGCAGTTGAAATCAGCCCTTGATTCGCGCACCTCCACATCCACGAGTGTGATCTGAAAGGAAGAGCCAGCAACCTCTCCTCATCCCCATGCACTGCAGCGACCAGGTCCCTCACTGCCACTCCCCTCTCCGCCTCCACCACCACTCTTCGACTCACTTCTCTCTTGGGATCAAGTGAAGACTCATAAAAGGGAGACCAGGTTCCACCCACTCACCTCCACATCCACGAGTGTGATCTAAACGGGAGTGCCAGCAGCCTCTCTTCCACCCCATGCACTGCAGCGACAAGGTCCCTCACTGCCACTCCCCTCTCCGCCTCCACCACCACTCCATCGTACCACTACCTTATGTAGCTGCGCATGCACAAGCATATACATTTGCATTCACTCACCTCCACATCCACGAGTGTGATCTAAACGGGAGAGCCAACAGCCGTTCTTCCACCCCATGCACTGCCGCAACCAAATCTCTCACTGCCACCCCCCTCTCCGCCTCCACCACCACCCCCACCTTCCCGCCCCTCAGCCCGCCCGTGCGCAGGGTGGGCGGCAGGGTTTGGACGGACGTGACCCCTGGCAGCTGTAACAACTGATCTTCCAACCTGAAAGGCGGGCGGGAACAGGGAGGGTGGGGGGAGCGGGGGTGGGACGAGGAGGCAGGGAAATGGTGGGAAAGGTCGGGGAAAGAGTGAGACACAGGCACAAATTATCATGCTTTTGAGTCGAGACATGGGGTCGTGAAAATTTGCGCAAAACAGAGAGTGTTGAGAACTTGATTCTTCTAAAAAACTGCCATGCCATCCCACGCCATCCCATCCCATCCCATCCCATCCCATCCCATCCCATCCCATCCCATCCCATCCCATCCCATCCCATCCCATCCCATCCCATCCCATCCATCCCATGCCATGCCATGCCATCCCATCCCATGCCATGGAGTCACAGACTCACCAGGGGAGGTCCGACTCATCCGTCACTCCGTGCACCCTGCAAGACGGGATGAACAGGGGGTAAAAGGAAGTGGCGAAAAAGAGTGACTCAAATGTCACTCCCCGCAGGGAGTGGGGGTGATGAACAGGTGAAGAGAGGAAGTGATGCAAAGGGAAAGGAACGATAGGAGAGAATGAAGATAATAAAGATTGCAAAGAGAGACTCAAACGCGTATGAGCCAGGAAACAACCAATCACCCTTCACAGCTACACTGGATCCTCAAACCTTCCATCCAAACTCTCCTAGGCATTTCAAAACGGAGGACCCACGTGAGATTGACGAGCCTCGTCTTTTGCGCCACAGCTGTCCCCTCTCTTGTCGTCTCCACCACCCCACCAGACGCTCCCGCTTCGTCTGACTGTTTCCTCTCTTCCTCCCCCTCCTCTTCCGCCCGCTCCTGCTGCGTCTTATGGTGGTGGTGGTGGCGCTTCGACATGGCCGTGCACACGAGAGCGCCGCCGCCGGACGGTCTGCTGACGTGGGCCGCGCCGGCGTGGTCTACGTGGCGCAGGTCCACGTGTCGTTGCAGGATGGGTGCGAGGCGAGACGAGCTAAAACTGGAACGGAACCTCTGCTGCGTGGACCGGCGAAGGGATGCGGACGAGGGGGTTGCGGCGAAAGGCGAGGCGAAGGCTGTCGCCATCGAGGTAGTCGCCATCTCGCCGGTGTTCGCTCAAACGTTTGAGAGGAAGAAAAAGACCTGGGGACAATGAGATTACGAGACTGGCTGACTAGATTGCTGGTTCGGATGACCAGGATAGCGAGGCGCGGAACTGGCTGGGATATCGACGGAGACTGCACGAGCAGAGACGACTACACGGGCTGAGACGACTGTGGCTACGGGACACGGAGACGGCGGTGGGATGGTGGAGAGAGATGGCAGGCCGTGTAAGCGAAGACGACACTAGTACGAGTGATTTTGGGATGTTCGAAGGTTGGCACAGGCTCAGTCCCAGCTTCTGTGCTTACACTAGAGCAATAACGGTAATCATTGTGTTGCTATGGAACTGCTGTTCCACCTGAATCGGGCGAACTCGTGAACTCGGCAACCAAGGCCGGAGGAGAGCTTTTGGGAGATAGTGGCGAGGAGGAGCGCGTCCCGCCTTGCGCTTCGAGAACTACGAGGATGACGCGGATAACGTGGATTCCGAGAAAGCAAGACTTGAATAAGAAGCAAGGACGAAGAGCGCAACACGAGGTCCAGGGCGAAGTCTGAAGGGACTTAGACATACATCCCGAGACTGCCACGTGTGCTAACATCTAGGCTGACAAGGAGAAAAACTAACTAAACCTGCTGGAGCTGATACAAGCGGGGACAGCCTTGCTGTCTGGAGGCAAGACTGACGTGTTTGGGAGTCGAACTGACCAATCACATGCTGCGTTCTGCCTCGACACTTCCAGCGTGCAATGCTCCAACGCGCTGAGGTCAAAGAATCTCTAGTACTCGCTATGAACTGGTGTCAAAACAAGAATGAAAACAGGGTCAGATCAACTCTTCAAGACTTTACACAGACCATTTTAGTCCTCTAATTGTACCGTATAAGCACAGAGCCACTGCAATACTGAGCATTCCTTCGGTTGCAATCACAAGGCCTCTGCGGGTGCTGCGCATTGCCGCTCACTGATGCTCCAGGACACCCAATATTGAAGGAGCAGCCTATCAAGCACTGCACACGAGAAGCTGCACACGCGAAGCTGCATACTAAAAGATAACATCCTCTTCGGTGGCTGTTGCAGACCAGGACTTGTCCGCAATCGCCTTGGGGCCCTTGGCCTCCTCGGCTTCTCTTTCCTCCTTCAACTTCTTCAGCTTGTCAGCCTCCCTCTTCTTGTAAGCCTGCACCTTTTTCAGGCGGAAAAAGTCCTCACGCTCCAACTCATCAAGCTCTCCCTTGATGTACGAAATCGTGTTCTCCAGGCGAGGCACCACCACATTCTCAAGCGCATTGACACGGCGGTTGGTTGTCTTAATGGCCTCGTCCAGTGTCAAGAAGGATGTCTGCAGAGATGCCAGTTCAACCAGCAACTCAATAGCACGGACGAATGCCGACCTCGCAAGCTGGATCTGCTGTCCTCCTCGACCCAAACCAGTCAGATCGTTCTTGCTGTCGCCTGCCTCGGCGAAATGCTCAAATTTCGGCAGCTTCACGCCAGCGACATTGTCCTGCTTCGCGCGAACCTTGATAATGGCCTGATCGACGTTCTCAAAAACAACGTGCTTGACCCTGTCTCCAGCAGCGTATTTTGCTTCAGTCAGCGCGAAGGCTGAAGACTTCATGATGTCACCCATACTCTCCTTCGTCTCCATGATCTTCTTCAATATTTGCCTGAACTGCATCGTCAACGCATCGCTCTTCTTCTTCAGCAGCTGATGTCCTTTCGTAGCACCAATAAGCCGGGCCTTGATGACCGTCAAAACAGTCACAGTAGGCACAACAGTCAGCCGCTGACCTTGCGACATGGTAGCAGCTGGCTGATGTATGCAACCCTTAAAAAAATATCCGCTTTTAATGATTCGATGGTATCCTCCCTCCAGCAAAACCTTAGGCCAATGCTCTGAGCGCTGCACGTTGGGGAGGATGCACTAATGATCAATAAATGGACCGAGCAAATGTTGACCTAGGAGGTGTGAAAATGAATGTACACCTAGGAGCTACAAAAAAGGTCTGCTGGTTCGAAATCCATGAAGAAACAGTCGGAAGGGAAGAACTTGATTCGGGGTTTGGCGCTACTTGCTTCACATTGGCTGTTACAAATATGACTCGCAAGTTCGTGTGCACGCCTGATTCGTCAGCCAGACCAGCAGTTGGGAAGTTGACACAGAAGAAGCGACACATTTGTCTGGTTACCCTTCTCTGTTTTTTTTCGTTCATCTTCGCTTTTGGCACCAGCGGATGGGTAGGGCAGAACCACACCCTCCCTCCCCTCCCCCACCTTTCTCTTTCCTCTCTTTTATACACCATCACATTCCTGCCTTTCTGTTTTCAACTCCTCTATGATCCTTTCTGTTCCATTCTTCCTTCTCCCCATTTTCAACTCCCCCCCTTTGCTTTCAAGCTTTCCTGCATTCATCCCACCAATCGTCCATCCATTCTTTGCATGCAGATTTCGGCTTCTCGCCATCACAGTACCATACAGTATCCCTCGCGCTTCCTCTCTTTTCTCATCCATGGCTGCCACGACTGTCGCATTCGCGCGACCACCCACTAGTCTTTCCTCTAGATCCCTCGGGACTAGCTTCGTAACCGGAACAGGTTCCTGCCGAGTTAGTCTAGCGCCGTTTCGCCTTCCTCAGACTTCATTGCAGTCAAAAGGAAACCGTGCTGCGCGGAAGTCAGACCAAAAATGTCGGCAACGGGGCGGCGCCATGACTTCTCAAGCCTTCGTTGACTGGACTGCCGTTCCCGCGTGGTACGCCTTCGAAGGCCCGGAAGAAATTACCCAACAACCGTTCCAGCCTCGCTCGTTCTGTCGCCTGCCACGCATCCATTCTCCCTCGTGCTCTGCTCTTCCTAAGAACGGCCTTCTTACCACCCATCCATCCACTCTTTTTTTCCGTCCGCTCGCTTCCCCATAGGCTGGTCAAAGTCGTGGTGAACCGCGAGCACCACTCTAACTCGTGTGGGCCCGGGACTTACCTGGACCCTCTCACTAGAAACATCTCCTATCCGTCCACTCATTCCCGCTCGTCTATTCCCCATAGGCTGGTCAAGTCCTGCGAAACGCGCGTACTAACTCTACTCGTGCGGGCCCGGCACGTACCTGGAAAGTACCTGGACCCTCGTCAAGAATCGCTCGCATTTTCCCCTAAATCAACCCCGCGTTCCTTCCCACCCATTCCTCTCCTCCTCTCTCGTTCCCGTCCTTCTCTCCCTTCCGCAGGCTGGTTAAAGTCCTAGCAGAACGCGTGTATCCCTCCAACCCACGTGGCCCCGTCAAGTACCTGAATCCCAACGCGCAGGCGTGTGTGTACATCTGCAAGCTGTGCATGTACCTGGATCCGAACGCCCATCCGAACTCTCTTCCCTTCCCACCCATCTCTCCCCTCCAGGCTGGTCGAGGTCCTAGCAGAACGCGTTTACCCCTCCAACCCCTGTGGCCCCGGCAAGTATCTGAATCTGCAACGCGCAGACGTGTGTGTACATCTGCAAGCTGTGCATGCATGTTCATCCCCTTCCCTTCCCACCCATCTCTCCCCTCCAGGCTGGTCAAGGTCCTAGCAGAACGCTTCTACCCGTCCAACCCGTGTGGCCCTGGCAAGTACCTGGACCCAAATGCCCAAGCATGCGTGTACATCTGCAAGCCGGGGTACTCATACGACTACGACACCAAGTCGTGCTACGTGGACAGGACCAGGGCCCAACAAGAAACCCTCTCGTATTCCCCCCACCAAAACAACCCTGCATGCCATCCCCTTCCGTTCCACCCGTCTCACCCCCGCAGGCTCGTGAAGGTCCTAGCAGAACGCGTTTACCCCTCTAACCCCTGTGGGCCTGGCAAGTATCTTGACCCGAACGCCCAAGCATGTGTGTACATCTGCAAGCCGGGGTACTCATACGACTACGACACCAAGTCGTGCGTGCGCATCATGCCCGCGTGCGGTGAGGGCTTCGTGCTCAAGGGCGGGCGCTGTGTGCCCAACCACGAGTGCGACCAGGGCTACTCGTATGACGCGTCTCTGGACGCCTGCGTCCTTCCCCAGGTGAGCATTGCCCCCCCTAGATGAGCGCCTGACATGGAGCCTCTCAGGTGTGGGGAGTTGAGCTTGCATTGGGGGGCCTTGTCTTGGCTGGACTGGGAGCACCATGCGGCGAGGGCTACTTGCTCGAGGGCAGGCGATGCGTGCGCAACCACGAGTGAGACCAGGGGCACCACGCGTACGACGCCTGGCTTGATGCTTTTGTTCTGGGATCCTCAGGTGCGGAGTGGAGCTTGGATTGGGGAGCATCAGTAGAAAGGTCGTGAGAAACTTGTACCACCACTGTAGGCCTGAGAGGTCACGTCGGCGTTGCCAACCCCAAAGCTTGCGTCTTGCTCTTGACTTCACCACTGCAACGCTCTTGCCATTCCCTCATCCTCTTGCCTTCCCATCAGCCTGGGGCGACGATTTGCTGCTCTAGTGAATCCTTCCACCTAGTTTAGTCCTGCAGGCTGCATCCTCTGTAACCTCCTGGCTCATTTCGTTTCTCTGCCTGCTGTCAGTCCTTTCTGCTCCTGATTGCCTCTGGTCCTCTTGCTCCTATGCTGTCGTTGTGTTTGCCTATGCTTCCCTTGCTCCAGGGTTCTTTCCACGAGCCCAAGCGTACGTGGTGGCAGCAGGCAGTGGCTTGGGCAGCAGGAAAAGTTTTGAAGGCAGATGACAACAGCTGTCCGGCCGGGTTTTACTACGACCCCAACACAACGGCGTGCGTGCCAGTTTGTGCACCAGGGTTTATGTACGACCGCGAGCTGAAGAAGTGTGTGCCTTCCGATGATACCGTAGTGTAGATATGGTGTTAGCACTGTAGAAGATTGTACGTTATTATTTGTGTGTTTTCCAGCGACTTGCCAGTAGGCATCAGTCAGTACCTATCTGGTGTATATAATTTATTATGGGTACCAATGCTTGGTACAAAGCCCTCGTATTGCAGCCTTATAAGCCTAGTTAAACTCCCAACATTATTTCTCATTAAACGGCTGAATTTTCAACATTTTATATAAGATTGCCGTGAAAGTGTAGTGTATATTGTTTGGAAGGTTATCAGGGTTCCGTAAAAAATCGGACAACTCTGCTTTTTCAGCCTGCTCTGAGATCAGTCCTCCCTCCCTAGCACGTTTTCATCACACCAATCGTCAGCAACCGAAACCGAGCATGCTGAATGATATTCAGTCTTCAAGTTCACCTCCCAACAGCACAGTATTCTATCACCTCGACATTGCTGTGAGGAATCACGGAGCAGGAATGAATCATTTCCTGTATACATAGTGGACAACAGACGGAAGCTCGGATATCAGACTCACAAGGGTCATACTTCCCTTTCTTAGGCAGCTTCACGATACGGTAGCAGTGTCATGCACGTCATCGACACCACCACCTTATGCACCTCTGGTTCTGGCCGGCTGAAATTAAAAAAAAATCAAACCCGTCGTCGATCCGCCGAGGCCCCACGTCTTTTTCTTGGGCAGCTCTTAACATCTTTCATGCTGCTGTACAGTGACGATCCCGCATTCACCCCGAGATCGTCGTTCGCATAATCCAAAAACTTCACAGCCGGAATATCAGCGACATCGACCTGCCTCTGATCGTTCAGTGGTCCCTCCTCCACAGCCGGTAAAACCTCGCAGTTTTATACCCAACGTCCCTTCCTTCTGTCTCCACCAGAACGACATTCAAGGTGTTTTCGGTCGGAAGTCCGCTGCATGCTCCCGTTTTTTCGGCTGGCAGAGAGCCTTTCTTCTTGACGTTGCACGGCTTGCCGTTGACGGTTTTCTGCCCGCAAACGTCCGGCCAGAAGGGGTATTTCTGAAAAGAGGGGGACGTGGTGGGGCAGTGAAGTGGAGAGGTGAGTATGCATGCAAAGCGCCATGCTTTTGAGGTGGTTTTTGAGGCGCCTCAAAAACCCCCTCAATGCACGAGGTGAGTATGCATGCGAAGCGCCATGCTTTTGATTCACCTCACCTAGCCGCTCCCAGAGACATTAAAGCCGACTCAGGCTCTCAAACTTTCACGTGTTCCTCAGGTGCTCTTAATTCAAGTCTCATCTCTTGGAAGAGCAGGGTGTCTGTCATGTAACTGCTGGCGCATGATCTCCCAGACGTGTCTCAGGTGTTCTTCAGGTGAATTCTCAGGTGCTTCTTCCTCACCCCGCGGAAAACTGGCGTATCATAGTACTGTCCCCGGGGCGTATCGTAGTACTGTTTCCGCATAAGCTCCCAGTAAGTACCTCCATGTCCTCACATGCTCCTCAGTTGCTCCAGTCTCACCTCTCTTTCTCCCTCACCTCTTGGAACACCGGAGTGTCTCATGCGCTCCCAGTACGTGCATTGCATAGATGCTACACTGGCTGTGAATGATTCTCACCACTTGGAATACGGGTGTGTCGTAGTACTGTTTCCTCATGAGCTCCCAGTACGTGTCTTGACATGACTCAGGTGCTCTCTCAGGTGCACTTCACGCGCTCATACTCACCTCTTGGAACACGGGTGTGTCGTAGTACTGTTTCCTCATGAGCTCACAGTACGTGCCGGGGTTTATGTCACAGCTGAGCACCAGAGGCGTCAAACACGCACTCCACCGCGGGGACCTGAGCACCTTCTTTATAATCACATCCTCTACCCTGTTCCTGGAGGTTCGAATGGAGGGTGGAGGGAGTGGGAGGAAGGAGTGGTTAGAGATTTTACATGTAACTACCTGCTCTGTGCTGTCCTGAACAAATAAAAAATCGCTTTTGAAAATTCTCAAAAGTGATTTCAATATTTCCTGAACACAATAAGAAATCATGGAGAGAGAGCGGGGCAGAGGAAAGTCTGGAGGAAGGGAAAGGGAGGGGAAACGGAGAAGAGGGAAAAAGGATGAAGAGAGTTATGAGGTGAGGATGAGTAATATTTTCAGTGAGAAGAGCGGCAGACATACCATTTCCCATTGTTGACTTTGATGCCATCGTATGTGTTGATGCAGGCACCTCCCTTGATTGCCACTCCAGATGTCACGAAATCTAGGTAGTAGCAATGATCCCCATTGAACACGTAACTGCACTCCGCTGTGTTGTCTGTATATGCAGGAGGAGAGGGAAGAGCAGAGGTAAGGGGAGGGGTAAACACGTACCCTAATTGCATTCCACCGTGGTAAAGGCTGGTTGCACTCTGGTTGCCCTGTGTCGGCACATACTTTACCAGAGCTGAAGCAGCCCTCACCTGGGTTGAGCCAACCCTCACCGGACCCGAATCAAGACTCACCAGGGCTGAACCAGTGCACACAGTAGTAGATCCCAGCCGCATCCTGGTCTCCGGATCTATTTCTCCCGGAAGCGACAACCAGGTTGCGAGTTGACTTTTGAGTCGACTCAAAGGTTGCGATCGATCTGCGTGAGCATGCAGTCGCCTACATAGTGCGCATCGGAGCCGCAGCGGATCCCCGCGAATATGAAGTCGTGCACGTAGTTGTTTCTCACGATGACGCCCACGCTGCCACGGTGAACGACGATTGGGGTGTTGACACCTGGAAGGGGGAAGGGGCGGGAAAGGGGTGAGTGGGGAGAGGAAGATGGGATGGGATCCCCGCGAATATGAAGTCGTATACGTAGTTGTTTCTAACTACGACGCCCAGGGATCCCCTGTGGACGATTATAGGGGTGCTCACGCCCGGTGGGTTGGAAGGAGGGGGAGCAGGGGAGTAGAGAGCGGATATGAAGTTGTGCACGTAGTAGTTTCATACGATGGTGCTGACAGTTCCCCTGTGGATCACTATAGGAGTGTTGACGCCTGAAGGGGGAAAGGGGAGAGGAGGGGAGGAGGGGGGAGGGGTGACGATGGCGCTGATAGTTCCCCGGTGGATCACTATAGGAGTGTTGACGCCTGGAGAGAGAGAGAGAGAGAGAGAGAGAGAGAGAGAGAGAGAGAGAGAGAGAGAGAGAGAGAGAGAGAGAGAGAGAGAGAGAGAGAGGGGGGGGATGCACGTGGTGACCTGACCCATGAGGGGAGGACATGTGTCATGGTGTATTGGAAACCTCGAGAGCCAAGGAAAGCCGAGTGGAGGGAAAACTAAGCACACACATAGACACAATGAGAGAACTGTGCATACATTACATGCTTGAAAGCCGAGTGGAGGGAAAAAGAGCGTGCGCAGTGTTTACCCACCAAAGACTTCATTGTTTGTTATAGCAATGAAGGATTTTGCGAGTGTAGGCCCGTGGCCACTGTAGGTCACTTGAATCACGCCAGGCGACTGATTGAATGTCGGAATCCCCGTTACACGCATGGAGTCCACTGGAGATGACGCCGAGCGGTGTAGATCGATTCTCCCGAAAACACTCCCCTTCGCGATTTGAATTCCGTACGATCGGATAACGGAAATCGTCGGGCACTGCGCCTTAGAATATATTTCCGGTACAGTGGTGCACGATGGGGACGACGAGCGAACGCTTAGCTTGAAATCGACCTTCAATACAAGCACATTGCTCGTGTTCCATATACGCAGCACCGGCTCGTTCGCTCCCATGTGAGTGATTTGAAACGGGTCCGCGGCGGTCTTAGCGGATCGGAGAATCGTGCACGAGAAAGTGCCGTCAAATAGGATCCCCTTGCTTACAACGAGGTTCCTTTGTAGTTCGAGGATGACCGTTGTAACGGGTGTAAAACTCAATCGTTTGCTGAAATCCGCGAGAGAAGATATGTTGATGACGGGCGCTCTTGCGTAGTCGGAGCAGGGATGTTTTGAGACGTCTCAAAACACTCCTTCTTTCACGGAGCAGTCGGAGCAGGGACCATGTGTGTTTTGAGTCGACTCAAAACACACCTTTCACGGAGCAGTCGGAGCAGGGACCATCCAGCCACGAATCAGCTGACGGAATGAGGAAGAGAGCAACAAGGGGACGAAAAACACGGTACGGTATTTGCGCTGCAGGTCATGTCTACAAAATCAAGGTACCCTTCAGAATTAATCGGGCGAGAGTGAACGCAGGTGTGTTTTGAGTCGACTCAAAACGTACCCTTCAGAATTAATCGGGTGAGAGTGAACGCAGAGGGGGGGCTTTCCTTCAATACGACAACGTGAAAGAAGGAGTGTTTTGAGACGTCTCAAAACACGACAACGCAGATTCCGCAGCACTCACCCATCTGCCTGCGCTGCCCCAACGGCCTCTCCTCTCGCGCCATGTGTCCCCTCCATTTCCTCCACCCACGGCTCATCCCAACAGCACGGTCCGACTCCGCTCCCTCCGCATCCGATGTCGCAGCGAGTTCGCCGCCGGTCGACTCCCCCCTCGTCGTCTTGTCCCGGGCTTCCCAAGTTGTACGAGCCGAATCTTGAGATTGTTCAAAGAATCCCCACGTGGCATTGCCGCCCGAGTCCTGAAACGCCTCAGAAGTCTCCTCCTGAGTCTCGTTGCCCGAGGCGAACACAGAAGCGGACGGCGACGATTTCGCCGTTAGGTCGGACGATTGCCATTGGTCGAGGAGGCGCCACACAAGCCCGCGGCAATTGAGCACGGTTGCAGAGAAAGAAGGCGGGGGTGGGGGAAGCGAGGAGGAGACGGAGTGGCGAGAGAGAGGAGGCTTTTGAGACGTAGGAGGCGCCACTCAAGCCGGCGGTAATTGAGCACGGCTGCAGAGAAAGAAGGCGGGGGGGGGGGGGGGGAAAGCGAGGAGGAGATGGGGTGGCGAGAGAGAAGAGGCGGGGAGAGGAGGCGGGGAGAGGAGGCGGGGGAGAGGAGGCGGGGAGAGGAGGCGGGGGAGAGGAGGCGCCGGGGGCGAGCAGGCGGGGGAGAGAGGAGGCGGGGGACGACGAGGTGGTGAAAAAGGACCGGAAGAAGGTTGGGTGGGAGGGAAGCGGGAGAGAAATAACGGAAGGAAGGAAGAGAGGCGGGACTTGCAAACCGTCGAGAGCACACCCTCAAACCGGAAGGAGGAGAGCACACCCGCTAAGAGCACACCCGCTAAAGCGTCTCTATTGCATCGACATACCTGAAGGCGTGAAGGCGAGCACGTTGGGAGAGAGATCGAGCGCGACGGAAAGTCAGAGGAGCAGCGAAAGAGGAACCCTATTATGCGAAAGAGGAACCCTATTATGCGAAAGAGGAACCCTATTATGCGAAAGAGGAACCCTATTATGCGAAAGAGGAACCCTATTATGTGAAAGAGGAACCATATTATGCGAAAGAGGAACCCTATTATGCGAAAGAGGAACCCTATTATGCGAAAGAGGAACCCTATTATGCGAAAGAGGAACCCTATTATGCGAAAGAGGAACCCTATTATGCGAAAGAGGAACCCTATTATGCGAAAGAGGAACCCTATTATGCGAAAGAGGAACCCTATTATGCGAAAGAGGAACCCTATATGCGAAAGAGGAACCATATTATGCGAAAGAGGAACCCTATTATGCAAAAGAGGAACCCTATTATGCGAAAGAGGAACCCTATTATGCAGATGCGCGACGCGTGCCGCCGCCATCATGGCGAGACACAGCCGGCGATAGAGAGTGGAGCAATCTGGATAACGAAGATTACGCAGCGGTATTGCAAAAGCGCAGGCGCGGGCTGGAAGCCGCAGGCGAGAGCGACACCGTGTCGCGTGACAGATGATTGGTGAACAACTTCGACTTTTGAGCATCTGTCGACTCAAAAGTCAACAGATGATTGGTGAACAACTTTGTCGCGTAACAGTCGTAGATGATAGCGCAGCTTTGTGGGGGAAATCAGCAGTTTCAGTGGTGGTGGCTGGAAGGGACGGCGCGCGATATTCTATGGAGACACCTCAAAAATCGTCTCGGTGTGACGCGTTGGTGTTCGTAAACGATGGCGCGCGTAGAGACTCTAGGGTCGGAGACTCTACTTGTAGGTTGCGGAGCGTAGGTTCGATCTGGAGGGTCTGCTGCAGAGCTGCGTATTCTCGCGGCAGGTCGCGAAGGTTTGTCAATGCGCGCTGGCCGGCTGTTGCGGTTGGAAAGAACCCGAGCCGCCATCTTAGGTCTGTGATTGGATGGAGGAAAATGCGGTCAGGTGATAGACGGTAGAACCTCAGGTGGCCGTCAGGTTGTTTCTATTCTGTCTGCAGGTTATAGGTGGTACTATCTTATCCGTGCGCACTAAAAGCGTGGTTCGCGCTTATGTGGAGTGCAATGTACGGCATGTCAGAGGGTGAGGGCGGGGAGAGGGAGGATAAGGAATGGTGTTCCCCTCCCCACCCCACCTGTCCCAGATAACAGCTGGCTGGAGATGCAGAGAGAAGCGCATCAATGGCGCCGTTATCTGTTGACCACATCACATGAAACCTAGCCTTAGGTTTGGAGCTCAGCGTGCTACATCTGCTCGTTTTTTAAACTTAACCATACTGTAGCGCACTGAAACGTTCTGCGATGCACAGAACCATGCATAGCTAATTATGAAATCATTCGAATGTTTGGCAACAGGTAGCAAAGGGTTTTCATCCTAGCAGGGAGAGGTACCTGGACCCCTCCGCTAAAAGGGCAGGGGTAGCGCTTTCTGCGCATGGTTTTCGCAAAAGGCTGGGCT